GGGCGTGGGACAGTGATACAAACTCCTCAATCCGTGAACATCTGTGCTTCTGCAGAGGTCTCTAGAAAGAGGGAGAATAGTCTAGCTGCATTACCGCTTGGGGACCAGGCATGCTGGGTGTCCCTAGGCCTTCTGCTGTTTACACACTATCTAAACTTGCTGAGGGCTTGGCTAAAGCGCTTCCCAGGGACTGGCAGTCCCCGGCATATGGTGGACGGAGGGCAGGAAAGTGCGATCACTTCCGTGCAGGCCAGCCAAAGGTCCAGAGGGGGGCCTGTACCCCAGCTCTGCTGGGCACCTCTGGGCAAGGTTCTTCCCCCTGAGACCCCGGGGGTCTCAAATGTGGAATGAAGTGAGTAAGCCGGGGTCTTTGTGGTGGTTTTGAAACATGTCTGTAAATGCTTGGGCATTGCTCCTATTAAGAGGGGGATCTAATTTGCATCCTTTGAATGATGTGGACTTTGTGACTTGCTCCTAACTAATGGGATGCAACAGGAATGATGCTGTGTGACTCCCAAGATGGGGTCAGGAGAGGAGACACAGCCTCCAGTGGGCTCTCTTGGGACACTCTTGTCTTCGGAGCTTTGAGCTGCATGTAAGGAATCTGAGGCTGCCACGCTTTGAGGAAGCCCAAACCGGCCCAATGAAGTGCCCACACAGAGAGGTCCTGCTAGGGTGCGGAGAGAGATGCAGCCGGCAGCCTCCGGCTGCAATGGCCCCTAGCTGTTCCAGCACCAGCCACCATCTGACTGCAAGTGTATGAGAGATCCAAGCCACAAGTGCCCAGCCAAGCTGTTCCCCAATTTCTGACCCACAGAAATCATGAGAGATAAGAAATTATTACTGTTATTTCAAACCACTAAGTACTGGGGCTGCAGTGTTATTCAGCAATGGATAGCCAGAGTGGTCTCTACCATGCTACCTCTCCAGGCCTTCCAGAAGTCTATAAAAAGCATTTCCTAAATCCACTGTGGAGAATGAAAAGCAGCAAGATATTATCTCTAGAATATAAATTATCCATCCATTCATTCAACAAAAGTTTACTCGTCACTCAGTCTATACCAGGCTTGGGACTAGATGCCACGGACGAAGGAATGGTTAAGACATCACTGTGTCCTTGAGAGAAGTCCATGGTCTAGTTGGGGAGATCGACTCACGCCCCGATATTTGTAACCAGCGTGGGGGGCATATACCAGAATTACCAGGATCGCTGGGAGACCATTTCAAGCTGCGCCCCTTGCCTCCCACAGGGATTCTAGTAACACCAGGTGGGGATCCGGGGCGGGTGCCTCTGCTACTGCCGGGAGGGTGTTGGAGCCCGCCCAGGTGAGGAGAGAGAAAAGAGTTTAGGGACCACTTCTGTATAGAAATCTTTAAAAACTTTAAGAATCTTTAGAGAGCTTGGTAGTTAAGAGCTGTAACGAAAAGATGTATAAGGCAGAGTGGGGGCTAATAAGAAAATTAAAATGGCTACCATTTATGGGGTGTATATACTGTGCATCAGGACATGGTAACAGGTGCTTTCCATACTTTCCTCTGAGTTACTTCCCAGTAGATCCCTTTTACACATTGCTGGGACGTCCTGGAGATTCCCACCCAGGACTGGCTGGCTTCTAGGCCTCAAAGGCATACCTCTCTGGCTCAGGGAGGCAGAGGATGTGAGAGATCCCTAGGAACAGGAGAGGTGAAGGGCCTGACGTGGCAGGAGCGGGCTGCCTAGGAGAGGAAAGGGAGGTTTCTCCTTTGTCTTCATTTACACTTATCTCTACCTAGTCACCTGACCTGCTTGAGTTCTACTCTAGCACCGAGAATCACAGAATGTTCCCTCATTCCTTCAGTCACTCATTCAACAGTTACTAAGTGCATACTCTTTCCAGCAATGGTCCTGAAAGTATTTTAGAGGCACAGCATTATCTAACCCTCACAATGGAGAGACCATGACTCACAGAGGTGGCATGAGTCACCTAAGGCCCCCAACCAGTTAGTGAGTGAATCGGAACTTGAAACCGTAGTTCCTCATTCCCAATTCAGTGCACATCCTTTAAGATGGTGCATTCTGGAGACAGCTTTGTCTTGATGTGGATGATACTGCATCTGTCTCATCCCCATCAGAGAACTCCCTGCCCCTCTGGCTTCTCTCAACACAAATGGCTATCCCTGCCTGGGTGAAACAAGGCCACACACTGTAATAATGGGGATGAGGAGCTTTCAGAGCACAGATTTACTGAGCACCTACCATTGCACCTGATGCACAGTGCCCAGTAAATCTTTTCTAAAAGAAAGAGTGAATAAATGAATGAGTCAGGAGAGATAATACAACGAAGCTAACATGAAAAAGCTCAAGAGAGCATGCAGTTGGACGCCCTCTGAGGACCTGGCAGGATCCCGTGCATGCTGTCTCCTGAATTTCAAAGAGTGACAGGCATCTACAGGAGCAGCCTTCACACCGACAACTACAGCAAGGCAGAGTGAGAAACCACACCAGGGATTCAGATGACAGAAAAAAAGATCCTGTGCTGAGTTACCACTGGTTCTGACACCAGCGGAGAAATGTGGCCCCACGAAGCAGTGTTTTACAGCTGCTAAACGAGAAGAGCCTACTTGACAGGCAATGTCGACAAGTGGAAAGGTCTCAGAAAAAACTTGTTTCTTGCTTATGTCAACCCCCAAGTCAGGCATATCAAAGATACCCTTGTAGCTTCTTAGCCAATAAAACCATTTATAAAATACATTAGAGTCAGATCTCATTTGTCTAATTATCCTTCAGGGAATGCCTCACTCCAGATCACCAAGATTCCCACACTGTTACTTTTATAAGTATTAAAACCTCATCTGGAGACAGAAAGTAGATCGGTGGTTGCCTAGGACTGGGGAGGGATGGCGGGTTAGGAAGGTGATGGGTAATGAAAATGTTCTAAAATTGATTATGGTGAAAGACACACAACTCTCTATACTGAAGGTCACACGGAATTGTACACTTTAAATGGGTGAATTGTATGGTTATGAGTTACATCTCAGTAAAGCTGTAAAAAAAAAAACCCTTTTCTAAATATAATGGATAGAAATTCTTCTCATATAATGCAACGTTCTCACTATTACAGTATACAGGGCAGTTTGCCCTACACTAAATGACCCCCTGTTTTTGCTGTTTACTTTAGTTTTTCTGTTGACGCCCTTACTTTCACCATAAGCTTGGTGATTAAGCTCATGGGCATGGGTCATGTATCACTGACTTACTGGCTATGTGATCTCTGGTGAGTGACTAGATCTCTCTGCGCTTGTTTCTCCATTTGTAAAATAGCAGTAGCAACCTCACTGGAGGGCTGTGGGCGTTAGAGGAGATGATATGGATAAAGCATTGATTGCTGTTCCTGGCAGTGGGGAGACAGATTGAATTTCAGCCATCAACACTATTCTCACTACTGTCAGTACAGCTGCCTGGAGGGACTAGGACTCAGAAACCAGAAAACCCGCCCAGAGTGCTCAATACACCTGCTGTGTTCAATGAGATGGAACAGAGGCTGCAAGTTGCAATTTCAGGATTGGACTTTGGGACATCCCATGGGAAGGCTCTCAGCATCAGTGATACTAGGTAATTTGTCCCAGTTCACCCTCAAACAGAAAAACCCAGAGGCCTAGTGAGGTCTCTCAAGATCCTGGATCTGGGAGGCCGGTGCCCAGGGGGACACAGTGGTCTACAACACTTTAGGCTTTCTCTAGACCAGTGGTTCTTAAAATTCAGAGGTCACAGATACCTTTGAGAATCTGAGCAAAGCTATGGACACTTGGCCCAGAAAAGTATATTTATATATACTGTACCCATAAGTACAGGGGAAATCCTGGATCCCAGAAGCTACCCATAAACCCCTGGCTAAAAACCCCAGCTCTAGACTTCCTATAACCCCAGCATCCTCAAGATTCAGTGGCTGTGAGCCCCAATACTCCCACAGCAGCTGGAACAGAGGTCTTCTGGAGGCTTGCCCTCCTAAACTGGCCTTAGCCAGACACTGGGAGCTGACTGCCACATCTTAGTCACTGCAAACAGCTGCATCAAGGGGTTCCCAGGGGCACTGAGTCAGAGCAGGACACAAGCCTGGTAGATCGGGAAGCTACTGTAGGGCAAGGCCCAGAAGCCCTGCTGTTAAGCATCTGGGTAGTTCCAGCCCTAGGGCAGTGGCCAGACAGACTCTCACTCTGCCAGCAACAGAGAAGAGGAATCTTAGGTGCTGGAGGCAGGCTAGGACATGAGAAGGAATTCAAAGGAGATGGAAATCCCCCAAGCTCCCGGGACTACTAGGCCTTGGACTGAGAAACAGAGGCTGGAGATTCTGCTCTAACTGCAGAGAGACAGAGCCGAAGGAGGGTGGGCAGGTTGTGGGGAGGGGAGGGGGCTGAACCATGGATCAGAGGCTGTTAAAAATGATTAACTGATGCCAGAAATGTTTAAATATGAACACTGACCCAGGGTGGCCATACTTCCAAGGAGGCAATTCATGTTTCATGAACTGCAATTTTCTTCCAACTGGAAGGGACCTGCACCATCTCTCCTCATCACACCTGTGGGCTGTGCTTGCTTCTCCAGGCTGGGTTTTGCTTGCTTTTGCTCCTCTATCACAGTATTAAAATTCCCATAATGTGCCCTAGACTTATGAAAATAGCTTTGCAACAACTGGTGGACAGGGAAGTTGGCATCATGCCCAAATTTGCTAATAACTTCTGTGTACGATTCCATCAGCATAAGTGGATGGCTGAAGAAACCCATTCTCTTTGGAGCCGCTAGAAGTACGTTGTTTTTCTGATGCTATAAAGAAATGGTCTGTAAAACTGCAGTGTGATATTGCATAACTTCTGCAAAGGGCCATCCTGTTTTTTCTTCATGGGACCAAAATTCCTTTCTAATTTCACTCGGAACCTATTTCTTTTATTTGTTCAAACAGAAAGAAAGGTTACGAACACTTGGGATGCTATGGTAGAGTGGTATGAGCATTGTGACTACCCACCTGGTTTAGTTTCTTTTTCCTACTTGCATCTCTTCAGATTTTCCACTGTTGACTAATCAGTGTGGAAATTCTAAGGGACCAGAAGAAAAACAAAAATTAGAGCCAGACACACTCTAGGGTTGTAAACTAAAACAATCTTTTAGGAAGATAAGTTAAACAGATCTAGTAACATGGTTAAATGTGCATATCCTTTGGGTCAGCCAAATATCTGTGAATCTATGCTACACGTATGTTCCAATAACTAAAAGGATGTTCAGTAAAACATATTGTGTAATAGCCAAAAAAAAAAAGGAAGAAACAAGTTAAATGTCTGAAATAGGAAGAGTTAAGTTACGGTGTACCAATATGGTGAGAAACTAGGTGGCTATTACAAAGAATGAGAAAGATTTCGTTGTACTGACAAGGAAAAATGCGAATGCTCTGTTGTTAAAAAGTGGTGTAGAACTGTATATGTCATCATTTTTAATAAAAATATGAACATGATTGTTTATTCTTAGAAAAGTTCAGCATTTGTATACACATACACAGTTTTTGGTATCTACACAGAACAAGGCCATCAGCAAACTATGAACACTCTGGGACCCGGAAACTGGGGGGAAAAGGAGTGAAAGACTTACTTTTTACATGAAAAATTTGTTTTGATTGAAAACTTTTATTTATCTTTAAAGATTTTATTTATTTGTTAGAGAGAGAGAGAGCGTGGGTGAGAGAGAGTGAGCAAGAGTACAAGCAGGGGGAGCTGCAGGCAGAGGGAGAAGCAGGCTCCCCGCTGAGCAAGGAGCCCGATGCGGGACTCGATCCCAGGACCCTGGGACCATGACCTGAGCCGAAGGCAGACGCTTAACCGACTGAGCCACCCAGGCGTCTCTTGATTGAAAACTTTTAGGCACACCTGGGTGGCTCAGTCGTTAAGCGTCTGCCTTCAGCTCAGGTCATGATCCGGGGGTCCTGGAATCGGCCCCGCCTCGGGCTCCCTGCTCGGCGGGAAGCCTGCTTCTCCCTCTCCTGCTCCCCCTGCTTGTGTTCCCTCTCTCGCTATGTCTCTGTCAATTAAATAAAAAAAAAAAAAAAGAAAGAAAACTTTTAAAGAGCACACATAACTTTCATAATCATTGTACATGCTGTCTATCTAGAATTCTAAAATATCAAGAGTACAAAAGACATTTTCAGACAAAGACTGAGCAAGTTTGCCATTCTGACTCCAAGAACATTCTCCAACAGAAAGGAAACCAAACTGAGAAAGTGAGTGAGATTTTGGAATCAACGGTGAGCACAATTAGTAAGTACAGTGTATTGGTAAATTTAAAACACTGATTGAGTGAAACAAAGCTAACTGGGGAGATAAACACAAATTTGACAATATTACATATTTGATGATAAGAGTGTCAAGGATGAAAGAGAGATCAGAACTAAAACTTTGCATGGTCCTTGTTTATTCAGGACAAGCAGGAATACTGTTTAATTGAGACAATATATCCATGATGCCTATTTAAAACTTTTAAGGTAAAATGACGAAATATAGAAATAGAACACTTAAGTTTCAAACCAGTTAGCATGTTCCTGGGTAGAGAAGTCTAATTATCCAAAAACATTAATCCTCTCCAAATTACTACATAGTTTTAATTAAATTTCAATAAGAATACAAATAGCTTTTTTGGGAGAGTGAAATGGGTAAAATTAAAGTTCACATGGAATAATAAATTCCCCAAAATTTAGCCGAGAAATAGGAAAGAAAATTAAAAATGTAAATAGGGGATTTGTCTTAAGAGAGAATAAAAATTTACTTAATAAAGACTTAAGAAAAAGATATGGTTGTAACATAAGAACAGACAAATAGGTCTGTGGACTAAAGCAGTGAGTTCAGAAATGGATACAAGAAAGGAACTTATTTATCACAAAGATGGAATTTCAATGCAAAACAGAAAAGATGGCTTATTTAATAAATGGTGCTGGCATATCTAGAACAAAGCTTGACCACTACCTCTCTGCTACGGATAAATATAATTCCAAAGGGATTAAAGGTTCAGGATTAAATAATTAAAACCATAAAAGTATTGGAAGAATGTTTAGGAAAATATTTATATAACTTCGAGGTGGGGAAATTATTACTAAACAAGGCAAGAAATCCAGACACTATGAGAAAAAAATAGAAGAAATTTAATAAACAAATAATAGATTAGGAAAAATATTTGCAATACATATAGAATCCTTAATATATAAATATATAAAGAGCTCCTATAACTTGTTAAGAAAAAAAGCAAAAAATTCCTAAGGAAAACAGTGAAGGAAATTCAGAGAAGAGGAAAACAAAGTGGCCAATTAACATGAAACAATGTTCAATCTCACTAGTAGTGAAGAAAATATGAGGCAAGCACCTATGAGACACCATTTTCTGCCATGAGACTGGTCACAGAATAAAACAGTACAGATACAGGAAGGGATGGAGTGAGGAGGGGAATGGAGAGTGGAGTCAGAGACAAAGGGTAGGAGGGAAGAAGGGAAAGAATATCTAATATTGGTAAAGATTTAGGGAAATGGAAGTACTCCTATATTTCTGGGAAGAATGTAAATTACTAGAACTCTTTATATAGTAGAATGATATTCTCTACTAAAATGTCAAAGACATATATAACATGCACGTTAATATACAATATTATTTTTGAAAATGTAACTTACAGAAACAAATGCACCAGTATAGTCAGTGGTATTACAATACTGTCTTATATGACAGACGGTGGCTCTACTTGTAGTGGACACAGCGTAGCTTACAGACTTGTCTAACTGCTAGGTTATATATCTGAAACTAATGTAACATTACATGTCAACTATATGTCAAGTTAAAGAAAGAAACAAAAGCACCAGTAGAGAAGGATATGTATATAAAATATTTTTAGTGAAAACAAAACATAACTTGAATATCTGTCAAAGGAGAAATGGCTGAATATATTGTGGACCTCTAGGTCTATAGCCCTGAAGCTGGTTAAAAGGGTGCATTAGATTTATACCTACCCAGGATGTATTATCTGGTGGGAAAAATAAAGTACAAAATAAAAGTATGATCCCACTTCTGACAAAACTAATAACCACACATCTACACAAACCCTACATCCATTTCACTAGGAACTTGGAGAAAAGATATATACCAAACTGATTTCAGAAAGATGGAAATGGGAAGTAAGGAGAAAGGAGAGATTATAACTTTTTCTTTATAACATCTTCAAATTGTTTAGTTACAATGAGCATATGTATTACTTTAGGGAAAATTAATGAAAATAAAAACAATGACAAGCAGAGAAAAACTCTGCTAAGCTATGTTATACACTACCCATTTATCTTTACATGGATAGTTAACTCCATTTACTGTCACTTTCTTTTTTGGTCAAAATAGAACATTTTAGTAGCTGGAAGACAAATTTTTTTAAAAAGCTTCATAGAGGGGGAAAAGGGGTACTTTAATTCCTAAGTATTTATGCTTTTTATTTAAGAAGGGGGAAAATATTACTTAGGAAAAAAAAAAAGAATTTCCCATGTTAAATCCAAAAGAAAGCCTAAAATTTCAGCTTGAAACTGCCCTGTTTAGGTGGTGTGTGGGCTGGTTCTGTGCTGTTGACTGTTTTCCATGGCTCAGTGCCCTTGACTGCTTTCCCCCCCACAAACCAATTAAATACACCCCTGGGAGTGAACTGGCTGCTGGGAACCAAAGGCCTGCAAACCCCTCATCTCTGCTCACAGGCTCTCTTGGTCTCCAAGCAGATGCTTTGGCTTCTACATCAAATGGGTTCTGGAATCCAGAGAAGTGAAATGGCTTGCTTTTGCAAACCATTCTGACAGGAGGAGGAGAGGAAATGGTTTATCCCAGTGGATGAAATAAAAGAGAAGAGATGAAGAATAGCATTCCCAACAAGCTCTTGAAGGACAGCTACTATACCGAATCTGCCATTTCAGAGTTACGTGCAAGGTACACTCTGGCCTTCCCCGGTGGAATGCTCTGCTTTTAACTCTTGTTATTTTATTTCATTGGTAATAAATATTGCATTGAAATAATAATGATACCTCACATTTCTACAGCACTTGATATTTTACAAAGCACTTTAAGATACCTGATCTCATTTCATCTTCACATTGACCCAGGTATCAGATCAGTATCATTCCCACTTACAGGTGAAAATGACTCAGAGAAGTTCAGAATCTTTTTAAGTCATGTGGCAAGTTGGTAACAGAGCTGCAATTCAAACTCTGGTCTCCAAACCCCAAGTCCAGCAGGAAGCTCAGTTATGAAATCACAGGGAGAAAGGGCAACTACAGACAAGCCAATGAATAAAAGTAGGCCTTGGGAGGAACAGCTCTTCCTGCCCTTTAGGAAAATAACTGTAGTCTAGGAGTAATATTTTATGCCACCTCAGAGAGAAAATTTGCTCATTTACTGGAATAGAGCTGCTGACTATGGGAAGGAAATCCCATGCTCCCTGGGTCTGCCCACCCACATCCTACCCAACCTGCAATGCCACTAGACCTCTAAAGCCCAGGGGACAGAGGATGTATCTCTTTTGTCTCTACGGCTTCAGGGCCCAGCCCTGGGTCTGGTACAGACTAGAAGCCACTAAGTTTCTACCTCTAGTAGTTTCAAATCCATCTACCTCTTCCATCCACCCCCCGCAGTGGTCCTACACAACACCAATCCTCTCTCCCCATGACTACTGTGACTGCCCCTCAATCCACCCCCCACACAGCAAATACCACCCACAAAGACCTACTGACTAATCATCATCATCAGGCCCCAGACTAATTCTCTGAACCCTAACCTCCACCTCTTTCTCAGTTCCCTTCCCCTCTATGCTTCAGCCACGCTGGCCTCCCTTTAGTCTCTCCAACATTCCACGTGCTTTCCTGCCTTGGACACTTGCACACGTGTACCTGTCCCTACTTGGATTATTCTTTCCCATAATGCCCTTCTTCCCCACCTTCAGCCTTAGCTCTTGGCCTAATGGACACCTCATCTCAGTTTAAACACTGTTCAAACAAGCCTGCCCTGACCACATTCCTGTTTATTCACTTCATACCACCACCGTACATCCTAGGCTGTGAACGACCATGAGAAGGATCATGCTTGTTTTATGAAATACTGTCCACCTATCACCTCGCTCAGTGCCTGGCAGATAATGAGGTGCTCAATGAATATTAGCTAAAACTATGTTGAACTGAAGGCTTGATTCAAATGCTACTGTCTCCCTTTCTCAGGCTTTCCATGGCACTGTCCCTCTCTTGGGGCACATAATGACCTGTGTGAGAGTTATCTGAGTCTTTTTTTCCTATCAGACTATAAGCTACTTACAAGTCTAATTTACCTTGGTATTCCCCATAGCGCCTTGTGTAATGCCTAAACACAAGGGTTCTTCTGAACAGTGGATGAATGCTTGCTCATACACAGGAAAGTACAAAGGAAGGCTACAGCCTCTAACCAACCACAGACAATGGCTTCTCCTACCCAGGGGACTGCAGTACAAGGCATGAACACCTTTGAGATAGGCAGGCTGCCCAGAATATTAGAAGTGAAACCTGAAAAGCAGTGGTAGTGTGTGGGTGAGAGGACAGGGGTGAGGACAAGACAAGCATGTACTGCTAAAGGGGAGTTTCTTACACTGGCAGAAACTTCCTGGTGCCAAACTGGAACGTGGGTAAGAGCTCTAACAAAGTTCACCTCTGACCTAGCCATGCCTTATTAAAAAATCAGAGACATGAAACCACTGGTTGATGATTTAAGTGTTTTTCTGTACTGTCTAGCTTTCCTTCCATGAACATGTTCTAATTTTGTAATCTGGAAAAAAAACAAACAAAACCCACCTCAATAAATGTTATAAAAACAAATCAGCAGAAAATCCAGTGGTGATCTTAGACTGCAGAATCACCCGTCCTTATGCCTCCTTACTAAACTTAGGATTGTAGACTCAGGGTCCTCCAGGGTGGGGCCCTGCAATTTGTGAGGAAGAGTTCCTGTCCTTCATCAGAAGCCTTGGGCAGGAAGGTGCCAGGAGCGCAAGCTTCAGCAGGGTGCAGCTCTCATTTCTCCCTCATGCAGATGCTGGTAGAGCTCTGAGAATCAGGAAATGGAGGGGAAGTGTGGGGGTGATCAACCAGCTCAAGACCAGGACTCCCATCCACTAGATGCGGATCCACTGCAACTGTTCATTCACCTCCCTGTCTTTCCTGACGCACTGAGAACTTCACAAGGCCACAGGCTGTCTCCTCATAGCCCTGTTCCTCCACCCTCGTGCTTTGTACTAGTCTGCCTTCAGTGTAATTTACTGAAAGGCAGAGACCACACCTATAAAGTACTAAACATAATGACTAACCTAGGTCCCTGGGACATAATAAGAACGCATCAGCTATCAATACTTCATTTCTAGAATGCCCTGAAGGTCCATTATTCATTTCAGAAAAGCCAAGTTAAAGAGTAGTAATTTCTTAGAAGATTAAAGAGACTTCTTTTAAACAAAGTTAGGAAATGCCGGCCTCCTCAAGTAATAGCAAATGCATTTTAATCTGCAGTTCAGAATCCCTCAGCATTGCAGCCGATTGCAGCTTCCAAAGGAACCACTCTTTGAAGGAGCGTTGCTCAAAGTTTTCATAAGGCCTTTCTGAAAGATTTCCAGGAGGTAGTGAGCTCAGCCTTGGGTCATGATTAATGACTTGTTTCCAAGAACTTTAGATTTTCCACGTCTGTCTCCACTTAGGAATCACTTCTGGCCCCTTGTGAAAACACTCAGCAGTTAATTGGGTGAACTCAGCTTCTTGTCACACTCAGAAAATAACACCTGACACCAGTTTCTTCCTTAAGTGGCTGGGCCAGCATCCTCCAGTCCCAGGAGAACAGCACCCACTTCTGTTTTTGGTCTGAGCACCTGAGTGATAAGAAATGGTGCTAAGGCTTGGCTGAAAGAGCCAGCATGGCAACTCCAAAGGGTTTCAACACTGATCAGTTCAGAGATGACCCCACATCCTTCATACAAATGCCAACCTATGACTGAGGGGGCCAGGGCCTGTGTACATTGGCTAACATTCTCTTTCTGGAAACCATAAAGTAGCCAATTCCAAGTACATATTTTTGTGCCAACTAGGTGCACTACAAGCTTTATCCTGTTTCATCCTCGTGGTACCCCTGGAGGTAGGTATAATTGCGACCCCCACTTCACAGAAGAGAAGCAGGCTCTATGAGGTAATCTGTCCGAGATGTCTTCACTAGGAGGTGGTGAGGACAGAGCTCTTACTGCTACCCTCCCCAACTTCTCACTGAACTCTACATAGTTTGAAGTGACAGAGACTGTGGACACCCACCAGCCCAGGGGTCACAAATGTAAATGTCCACAGGGACCAAGGGGCAGGTATGAGACTAGAGATGGTGACAGATGGGCAAGCAAATGGCACAGACAGTAATAAACTGGAGAACACACCTGCTAAAGACATTCAAATTCAAACAAAAATAAAACCCAAAACCATGTACCTTCCTTTCAGAATATCACCTCCTCACCACCATCTTAGGAAGAGGGACTACCTTTTTTTATAAGTAGGCACCACGCATAGCATGTAGCCCAACGCAGGGCTTGAACTCATGACCCTGAGATCAAGACCTGAGCTGAGATCAAGAGTTGGACGCTTAACCAACTGAGCCAACCAGGCTGGGGTTATTTTTTTAATTAGTCGAAGTCTGGAGATCTTGAGGAGCTGGGCTGAGGTGGAGGCTGGAGGCCCGCTGCCCATGACCATGGGTGGTTCCGGGGCAGCAATGGTCCACTTTCAAAGGGTTGAGCTGCTGGAGAAGACCAAAACTCTCAGATACGCCAATGGGCTTTGAGAACCCTCCTGGTAACCATGATCTTAATTCAAGCGGTTTTTAAATACTGCATCTTCCTGAGGGCTGGAGTCTCTGACAGCCTTAAAGATATAAATCCCTTAAATGGCCAACATCTGAAACCCTGGCAACTCAAAAATCCAAGACTTGACAACATCTTCTGCTTTTCTTTGCACTCTGGCTCCAGTCATGCTGTCCTGAAGCCGCAGAGGCCGTGTCTAGGTGAAATGAAGGAGGAAGGGCAGCAGAGATTTTCCCTTCCTTTCCTCTCTCTTTTTTTGCCAGGCTAGGGACTAGGATGGTGGGCTCTATGTTAAAATTGAGTATGCTAGGTCTCCTCTGGACCTGCGTGCCGGGCTTTCTACCAGGTAATGGGGTTATGGTAAATGGATGAGACAAACTCACGAGAGGGGACACGTGGTCTAGGGGAGACCCAGTGAATGAAGTTCTGCCAGTAATTACGTAAGCACAGTTCAGGTGAACACAAGGAAGGCGTTCAGGATAATATGGGAACATACCAGAGATTAACCCTCAGTGGAGTTAGGGAACAATGACACTGACCACCTTAGGTTATGTAAAAGGCTGAGCATAACGTGGGGTTGAGCACTTTAGAGACATACAATAGTGTTAATTCTTAGTTCTCCTCCCTCCCTATTGTGCACACACATGCACACCACACAGACTTTCTTCAGGAACACCAAACCTTACAAAACTATAAAAACTCAGAAGTAACTCACTGTTGCCTGTTTTATTTACGTCCTCTTTTAATTGTCCTTCTAGGTGCTGGTTTGTAGCCACTCTGGGATACTGAAAACCAAGAGTACTTTGCTCCTCAAGCCCTAAGGATTCTCCTCAAAAGCAAAAGAGATACAGACGGTTCATTTCAAGCTGAATTCCGAAATATAGCGATCATCTAGTTCTGTCCCCTTACTTAGGTACAAAAGAGGAAACTGAGGCCCAGAGAATGTGGAACACTTGCTCAGGGCCACAAAGTTTCCGTGGGTGGCCCTTTGTTCCTTAAAGCTGAAGTCTTTCCGCTTTAACCGTGATTTCCCAACTATTTCCACCTGCTAGCAGGGGATGTGGGTGGCACGCAGCAGCTGCGAGCCATGAGCCACGTACCTCAAACCACAGGAGAACGGTCAGCTCAGGCGCCCACTGGTGAGGGGCCTGGGACAACAAGTCCCCTCCCTTCCCCTCCGCACAGAATGGCTCCCCTGGTTTAAAATCCTGAGCACAGACCCCAAGAAAGAAAATGCCGAAGTGCTTACTTACACGTTTGTTCTGTTTACTTTCTAGGCATCAACAGCAAATTTTAAAAAGGAAGCAATAAAAAGACCATGAAGCCAAAGTTAAAGTCTTCCGACACTTCTTTCCATCTCGGGAGTCCGCCCAGCTGCTGTGGCAGTGGGGCGCATGTGATAAGCTAACTTCAGAAACCCGATCATTTCTGTATCTTACATTTATAATACCAATCTTGTATTTGTGAGGGGAAGATTACAAGGAATTGCCAATTCATTTGAGAATTGAGATGTCATAGAGAGATATTTCTCTCTAGGGTGTCTAAAATGGTTTGTACCACCTTTGTAATCAGAGAAAAAACTAAAGGTTTTACAAACCTCAATGTCTAAGGCAGGACTTACTTCTTCACCTATCTTTAGGGCAAGGAGCTGCTTTTAAAGCTCTAGCCGATCTGTCAGCGTTCTTGGGGTAAAAAAGTCAAACAGCATTTGAATGGAGCCCATCTGTGAAACTTGAGTTCAGACTCTAGCCCCAGGCAGTTTCAGACAAAGCCATAATTTTCAGAACAATAATATATCATAATATAAAAATAGACACTTTGTGACCGACAGGCTGTAAAAAAAAGCAATAAATAAATAAAGCAAGCCAAGCTCTCCAGACAGCTCTGCCTCCGAGCCCTGCTCTCCCCGGGGGTGGGGGTGGCAGTGGAGAATAAAGTTCTACTTACAAAAGCAGAGTTTCTCCAAAGTCCAGGGCTCCTCCTCAGTCACAAGCAAAGGGAGAATTTAAGAAACCAGGATTCAAAATGCCTCCCTTTTGAGGGTTGGCAAGATTAGCAGACCAGGCCGGCGGTGCAGTCTGGATTCTTTCTTGCCCTCTCTCCCTGTGTCTCTAAATGAAATGCACTTCGAGGTTTTAGTGGGTGTTTCCCATGTCTCGGGCCAAGTAAGTCCCCATTTGTTGTAACCCAATGCTCAGCCTGATGATGTCAACCACTCAGCTCCCTTGCTCAGTTTCCACCTCTCTGTCCACAGGGGAGATCCATTTCCTCTGGACAATGAGCTGGGGGGGCTGTAACTTCATCCCAGGCCGTTATATTTGCCTAACATCCTTCCTTCAATTTTCAGCAGCACAGCCTTAGTGACAAAAGGCTTCCTATCCACTCACTGGGCCAGTGCTCCTGGCATTAAGTCCCTTTGCCTTGTAGTCACTGCTGACTGAGAGCGATCCAGTTTGCTTTGCTGTGTTTTAATTCACTTCTTTGGTGTGTAATACCCTCGTTAGGGTGGAGATCAGCATCCCCACTCCACCCCACCCTCATTTCCTCCTGCTCAATTTTCTAAGTCGTTCAATTTCTCTAAGTTTCCTAGGTGCATGCTGCGCACAGTGTATGTCTGTCCTTCACTTAGGGGAGATGACACGTGCCCAAGTGCAAGGCTCAGAAGGAGCACTGGTCTGCTGCCTGGAAAACTCGGTTCTGGTCTCAATCACAGTCCTAACTGAATAATGACCTCAAGTCATCTCTCTCCCTCGACCTCAGTTTCCCCATCAATAAAATGATGGTTTTGGGGTCTTCCACTTCTGAAATTCAGTGACTGAGGAGCTTATCAACAAATGCAACATAAAAGAATTTTACTACAAGCTGGCTGATTACATGCTTGAGGGAGGAAGAACCCTGACAGGTCAGAAGGCCAATGTCCACAATGCCAGGCTCAGCCTGGTTCCTTCGACCCCCGTTGTGGTGGAGCTGAACTGTTTGTCTGGGAGAAAATCCCAAAGAATTCACTGAACAAGGCCTGGGGGACATGGAAAGAGGCAGCACTGCCTTAGGGATTAACGTGGAACAGCAGTGATCAGGAGAGACCATAATAACCTCTTGCATTTGTAGAGTGCTTGCAGGGGAAGACAAATCAAACTTCTGTACTTCTGTGTACAGAGGGAAGCAGTGTAACATGTATATTGCTTATGAACATCAATTTGGGAACCAGAGATATGGATCTGAGTCCTGTGTGACTTCACTTCCCTGAACTTTTTTTAAAAGATTTTATTTATTTATTTGACAGAGAGAGAGACAGTGAGAGGGAACACAAGCAGGGGGACTGGGAGAGGGAGAAGAAGGCTTCCCACGGAGCAGGGAGCCCGATGCGGGGCTCGATCCCAAGACCCTGGGATCATGACCTGAGTCGAAGGCAGGCGCTTAAGGACTGAGCCACCCAGGTGCCCCTCTGAACTTTTTTTTTTTTTTAAGATTTTTTATTTATTTGACAGAGAGAGACACAGCGAGAGAGGGAACACAAGCAGGGAGAGAGGGAGAGGGAGAAGCAGGCTTCCTGCGGAGCGGAGAGCCCGATGCGGGGCTCGATCCCAGGACCCTGGGATCCTGACCTGAGCCGAAGGCAGACGCTTAACGACTGAGCCACCCAGGCGCCCCTGAACTTTTTTTTTTAACTGTAAAATGGAGTAATAGGGCCTCCCTTTCAGGATTGTCAGAATTGAAGAACACATGCAAGGGAACTGAAAGTATCTGTACATACTAAGTGTTGATAGATGGTAGCTTCATTGTCATATATAATCTCATCTGATTCTCATTTAAGGAGCATTAGTACCCAGGGGCTGAATTATTAGTCTGCTTTTCCTGGGTAGGAAAATGAAACACAGAGAAGTCAAGTGACATGCCCAAGGTCACACAGCTCAAGATTAAAGGGCCAGATTTGGAAACTGAGTCTTTAACTCCTACTTAGGCCAGCACACATGCCACACACATGCCAATGCTATTTCTAAATGGGATCATAGAAAAATGAGCTAAACTTATTGAAACAAATGGGGAAGGGGTAGGTTCAGCCAGGCCAGGGGAGAGGAGAGACAGTCAATCTATTGCCTAAAGGAAACACTACAGGCCACTAGGTAGAGGGGGTACTTACTTGCTTTGCTACCCAAATCCATGTGACCTGAAGGAAGTCTTGGCTTTAGTTACCCCTCCCTCCAAGAGGCAGATCTGATTTGTCTTAAACCTCTTAGATGGGAAGTTGGGATTGGAGTTCTTTTGAGAAAGAAGAAGCTGCTTATAGGTGGGGGTGAGACTGTGGGAGTTTGTGACTTAACAACTTTAATTCTCAGAAATCTTTGATGCTGTAATAAGGAAGGACAAAGCAAACAGACTATACATCAGGAGGGAGTTTGCCAATCTGAAGGCTTTCCCACAAGCTGGTGTGGGGCTGTAGTGGAATGAAAAGAACTCCAGCCTGTTAACTCTGAGCCTGTTGCCAGCTCAGAAAAACCCGGGTTTCCTTCCCATCCCTGGACCTTCCAGCAGTGGATGACCTTGGCCAAGTTAACTTTTGTGTAAAGTGAGAATAATAATAGCACTTACCCTACAGGGTTCTTTGGATTAAGTGCCTGGCACATACTACAGGTTCAAAAATATTTGGGAAAAAAAACTTACAAAAATAAGCTGCAACATCCTAAAGGCATTATTTTCTAATTCTGACTCAGTGTCACCATTCTCTACCCTGAGGATGATGTAACAGTGAATGAATAAAGTCATGAATGTCAGGAAGCCAGAAGGACCTGTTATTTCTTGAGAACGTCAGGATGAATGAGAAACAAAAAAGCCCACCAAGAACTGTCAGGTGTGTTCTCAGCAGCAATACTCAGCTTGGAGGGATTGGGGGTGGTGGCTGGGGCCGTTATCTGCTGTGTCCTTTTCCCAGAAGCCCAAGTGGGCATCAGGAAATGAGCTGGGCCCTGGACAGGTCAGTTTGCCAAAATCACTCTCAGTGCTTTGAGATCATGTTTTGTTATTTGAACAAAAATAATAGTAAGGAGCCCATTCATAAAAACAAAGATATTGTTTTCTTCAACCACATATATTTTGTAACACTTGCCTGTAACACTGAGTAAGTGCACATCTGTGACAGAAGCCATGAAGAGAGGACAGCCAACGCCAGGCACTCATTTGGCCTTCTGACCGATGATGGCAGATACACTCTGTGGCCTGGCGCCACGCTCTGTGCTAAGTACTCTAGACGCCACCTTCTAGGACCCTTATAACCATCAGGTGAAGGAGGTTTAATATCCCCTCATCTTACGGCGACACCAGCGAAGGGGGCTGCTAAGGCTGACCAACCTGCGCGAGGCTGAGCGGAATGAATGACAGAGCCTAGGCTCCTCGCCAGGGCTGCCTGGGGCCCAGCCTGGGTTCTGAGTCCCTTCCTCTGCCGCCTTCGAAGGGGTTTCCCTGCAGGAAGGCCGGCAGTTTGTCACAGCCAGCAGCATCGGATCCATCTGAGGGGAAAGGCAACTCCGGCTGCTTCTGAGCACAGAGCTGCTCTGAAGGGCCCAGACAGCCCCTCTGTCACAAAGCTGCCCTTCATTCCCACCCCTCACCACAGTCTGGAAGGGGCCTCTCCCTCTGAGGTTCCTTAGGACTTCATCTGTTCCTCTCTCAAGAAACGTATCCTTTTCTCCTTGCGGAGGCATATTTACTTCTGGGCAGCTCTTACTTATTCTGCTGCTAGAACTTGAGCTTCTTATGGGAAAGCTCTGTGTTTAATTTATGAGCATTTTGTACATATGAGACACTTATTAAAATAAGGAAAGCTATATCCAAAAAAATAAAAAAAATAAAAAAATAAAGGAAAGCTATAAATAACGAAAACTTCTAACAGATGTTTGTCATATGCCAGATAATATTCTAAATGCTCTATATAAATTATCTCATTTAACCCCCCATGAGGGTCCTTTGAGGTAGGTATTACTATCTCCACCTGACAAATAAGGGCATTCTAGACATATCAATCACGGAACTTGTTCAGCTGGCAAATGACTGGTATCTGTTGAAAGAAGTGTATGAGGAATAAATTCTGGGCACCACTACTGACCTTCTAGTCCAAACAGCTGCTGCAAAATGCAATTAGCTCTTCACCCTATCAAAGGCAAGTTTCAGTTGTCATGCCATTTCAAACTCAATCACTCTGGCACACAACTAGAAGATCCCTATTTTCTGGACATAATTGAGAAGCACATTGATTGAGACTTACAGCTGTAAATACAGATTTTGTTTTCTTTCCAATTATAATTGGTTATTGTAAAAAAAAAAAAAAGGAAATATAGAAGAGCAGGAAAAAAGGGAGGAAAATCATCCATCATCCTACCACCCAGAAATAACCAATTAACTTCCTGGCATATGGGCCCAAAAGGAACCATACCTACACTGAAAACAATGTTTTGGGGTGCCAGGGTGGCTCAGCTGGCTAAGTGTCCAACTCTTGATTTCAGCTCAGGTCTTGATCTCGGAGTCATGACTTCAAGCCCCACAGTGGAGCCTACTTAGAAAAACAACAACAAAAACAATTTTTAAAAATCAGACACAGGGGCACCTGGGTGGCTCAGTCGTTAAGCATCTGCCTTCGGCTCAGGTCATGATCCCAGGGTCCTGGGATCGAGCCCCGCATCAGGCTCCCTGCTTGGCGGGAAGCCTGCTTCTCCCACTCCCCCTGCTTGTGTTCCCTCTCTCGCTGTGTCTCTCTCTGTCAAATAAATAAAATCTTAAAAAAAAAAAAAAAAATCAGACACATAAGTCATTTGGGGGCAGAGAGGAATCAATCCCACAAAAGATGCCAAAGAAATGTTTGATTTTTTCTTTTTTTCTGGTTTTGGAGTACACCTGGCTGCTTTCTCTACAGGGTTTGATGTTCTGAGGGTCCACCTCCTAGGCCCCCTTGGATGGCTGCTGAGGTAGTCAGTGTGCCCAATGGGGAGATGGCAGAAGGGAAGCCTGATCCCAGAGAGTATGCACCTAAAGAATGGGTAGGTTCACAGAATACCTCCCTTCTAGTATGAGACTGGGCATCCTTACCCTGTCCTTTGAAGGACGCTCAGTCTAACTGAGGGTCAGGTGCTCTAAAGCAAAGTGTACCCTTCAGTGTGGTACACAGAGCTTCTAGCAGCTTTCCAGGCAGGGCTGAGGCCTATGTGGCAAACAGACAACAATTCCAGAAGAAACAAAGGCCTACCTCCTAAAAGGAGGCTTTTATTATTGTTTACAATTGGGAAATAAAAAAAAGTATCACAAAGCATTTGAGGAAAACCAACAGCATGACAGAAACTAAAAAAAGAGAAAATGGACCCTTATGGGAAAGAAAATTCAGACAAGTGAAGA